AAGTTAAATACTTTGAAACTTTATTTCATGTGCAATGGGGCAAAAGCAGAATTATTAACAAATCTGCTATAAAATGCTTTTTACTGCATTATGCAAGTACTCTATACTGCAAACATGTACTCTTAGCTGAAATATAAAAGGGAATATAGTAAAACAAAACAAGGAAACAAACATACTAAATCGAGAAATTTCGCTCATATTGTAATAAAAATAGCCTGTATACACACTTGCCCCGTTTACGAACTTACCCCACTTCACCTTATAATTATTATTATTACTGCCATTATTGTTATTATTATTTATTACCTTAATAAAATATATTGGGTATGTTATGGATTGTATATTTGTATCACTAAAAATATAATTTCCTTTTGTTAATATTAGAAGCAATTGACATCTATCACTCGATATTGATAATAACACTGGTCGATACTGCGCAAAGAAAACAAAAGTATCTAATATAGTATAATACACTTACAAGGTCCGTTATTTTCTACTAGCCTCCGAAAGGTGAAGGTTGAAACAAAGAGTCAGAGGAAGTATGATCCTCAAAGCGGCCATGTGCTATGTATCAAGAATTTCAACAATAGACTTACCTAATTTTCAGTTTTGTTCCGTTTCATATATTATATTACTTATCGTGGATGAAAAACTTTATTCTTTAATTCGATGATACCTAAATTCGTATAATTACGTTCCAAAAATTAACAATTAATATTGATTAAATTTATTGATTGTATACAATTTAAATGTATTGATTTTATACAATTAAAATTTCATAAAATTTAGAACTCTTTGAGAACAGATTATTCATACGAGCTTAACTTTATTAGGATGAAGAAAATGATCAACTTTTTAAAATAATTAGGAGCAACTAAAATAATATTTTTAGCGTTTTCTGATTCGAATTGTATAGTCAGCAAAGTCCCATTTTTCAATAGAAAAAATTTGATAATTAACAATAAAAGAACTTCATAATTATAAATTATCGCGATAGAAGTTCGTAATTGAAAAATAACAAAAACTCCAAATTTCGTCATTTTTTCTTGGCTAATTAAACTCGGAAGAATAAAATTCCTGAAATGAATATTGTGCGCTTTACTAAGAATCAAAGAACATATATCAACAATATTCAAAAAGAACCCATGTTAAATTTTACTTATGTTATGCTACTTATGTTGAATTTCAATGTTAAAATTTTTTATTCGTGGATTTTAGTTTACATTTTACAGAAGTATATATCACTTTGTAAACAGATGGATTATTAAATTCCATGGTAATAAGAAAAGATAATATCAAATATAAACAATTTTACGTTCAATAAAAATATCAATAAAAATATCACGTTTTAAAAGACAGTTTTTCAAATTTGCTTTTAAGAAGCTTGCAATGCTACTCTATTACTTCTACATAATAATAAAGCAACGAAACCCGTTAAAATAAATATTACAGAAATT